ACGAGCCTCAGAGGAAAGATATATTTTGTTTTGGCATACTCCTACACTAAAGTAAGTATTGATTAAAAGGAGAAAGTTATACTGGAAATGTACGTTACGAAAATAACAATTTATAAAATGACTGTCTTCTGGGGACTCATCCCCCTGATGATGGATGCAGTAAGTACCTCCGAAACGCTGATAAAATTCTACCAGACTACAGGACGGTACAACCCAGAGGACAGCCATCTTCACAGTCGCTTCCGTCAAATCTCACCTATCAACTACACTCATTTCTCCAAACGAATCTGCTGTCTCCATTTACAGGGTACTTCTAATACACGGCGCAACACCCTACATTAGGAATCACAACGTGGATTGTGCCAGAATGCAGACGAACACCGCGACTTCGTAATTATTGACGAAAACTAACGAATGATAAGAAAGAAAAAATGTGAAATTTGTATGTGGGCAGATAAGTCATAAACAAACCTATAATATAATTATAATTTCAAACATGGTGACAATGCGAAAGACTTATAATACTTTAGGCAAATTCATTGTAGTCGGGATCCGAATCAGTAGCAATAATGTTGGTAAGGAGATGGCTAAATCGCATGATTATTACTCTATAATGACCATCTAAAGTTTTGTGACTTTGATTCGTTGTCTTGGGTACGTCGTCTATGTGGAGACAGATAAAACAAAACTTCTGGTTTCCACGCTGGTTAATTACCGTGTTCACAAAAACCCACCACCGGAACCTAACCTAAGCCAGATTAATCCAATCTACACCCCCAAAAACTCCATTTCCTAAACTTCCATTTTAATATTATCCTCCCATCTACTCCCTTGTCGTCCGAGTGATGCCGTCCTCTGAGACATTACAACCAACAAGATGTGCACATTTTTCATCTTCCTCATGCGTGCTACATGCCCACCTCATGCTCATCCTCCTTGATATGGTCCTAATAAGATTTCGTTAAAAACACAAACAATGAAGATCCTCGCTCTACGTTCCTGTGACCTCATCCTCCTGAGGTCCAAATATCCTCCTCAGCACACTGTTCTCAAACACCCTCAGTCGTGTGTTGTTTCCTTAACGTAAGAGACCAAATTTTAGAACCATTCAAAACAGCAGGTAGTTTAGTACAGCGTTTCTCAATCTATGGTACGCAAAACTAAGTAATAAAATCAAAAGATAATATTAAAGTAAATAAGTTTTCCCAGAAAGCATTTGGTTAGTGGTACATTTAATTAGAATTAGTGGTAAGCCAGCGAAAGAGTTTGAGAACCACTGTTTTAGTACGATTTTAAATTTCGTGCTTTCCGTTGGTGGAATGCTCTGAAATGCGTGGTAGCAAGTATTTCCAGAGTCTAAATAATACCGGTATTATTAATGCCCCCCGCCCCCCCAAAAAAAAACATTTGAAGAACTTCATGTTGTCCTTACATCACGGTCGTACCGGAATACCGAATTGTCGTCCCAACGCAGGGGACATAACCGTACCATCGTCTCCCAGTAAGCTGATCTAACACGCACAAGCAGTTCATTACTCTATTGTCAGAGGATCCCTTTGTCCCCCGTGTAATAACCTGCCCTCCCGTGGTTCGGCCACTTCGCGTCATACATCCCTACCCGCAGGTCGTTAGAGATGCATCGCTCTCGCGTATTTATTCCCATGATTCCCAGTGTGACCAACTGTGCAGCTCTAAAAGCAGCGGTTCAATTTCGAATATTTCGAATACCCGTTTATAAAGTTTCTTTTCTCTTTAGGTGGATAAATATTTTTCAATTCGCGGTTGAAATTACCTCACTGTTTTATAAAACATCATACGAGCGTATTACAGTCTTACTACTCGTATATTTGTAATGTCTACTCACACAGAGAAAGCATTATTCTGAAGTGTAAGAGATGCCATTACAAATAATACGTGTTTTAATTAGTAGAATTTAATTATAAAATACTTTACACCATTGGGTTTCAACAGCGACCTTTCAAACTCCCTGGTCGTAAACTTCCACACTTTCGTGGTTTCTGCACGTGTTCCCATGGGGACAGGTTTTGATTCTGACAGATTGTGGTGTTTCTTAGAACAGCGTTTCCATAAACATGAAAATATAGTAAACAATGGATCAACTTAATACTTTAATCATTCAAGAAGTAATTGGTCTTTGTCATTCTTTGAAGGCTTCGAAATGTAAATGACAATTCTGAAGCTTTATTACAGAGAAGGCTATTTCTAAAACTGAAACCAAATACATGACACAATTATTCATTTACTGAGTTAAATTCTTTATATAGAAAACTGTCAATCGAACACATGGCTTCTGTGATCCATGGCCTATCAATATAAATAATTATTATAACCAGCAACCATACCCACCCAATTCCTTCTTCTGGCATACCAAATTTTTTATTTCATTTGAATCTAGCTTTACACAAATATTCTCCTATATTCTTTCAATCTATACAATATTATCATTCCTTATAATCTACTTCATCCTTAACAATTCTCATCCTCCAAATATTAACCTTGAACCATGCAAACTAACTACTCACATTTTTGTGTGTAATTTTGTGTAGGGGGGACTGCCATAATTTTACATACTATAAATACAATTCAATTTAATACACCAGAATTTACCTACGAATGAGTGCCTTCTGTAACGTATGAAGTGTAAAGAAAAAGTTATTTTTATGCACAGACAATTTTTAAAATAAATTTGAACGAAATGTCTACAGTTTGTCACTTTCGTCCAAGATCCTGGGTAAAATAACTTTCTTACATTCTTCTCATGAACTACTGTTATGTTTGTCAATAAATATTATAGAATACGCAATTCTATCGTGATGAACAACATAGCAGGCACAAACGAGCTCAACAGAATACTACCAATAACGAAGTAATAACACGTTAAAACAACCACGTTCAAAACGCAGTAAATGTAAACTTTCTGAATACAAAGTTTGAAGGCACTAAATCCAGCATTAACAAGTAAACATATCGACTGACAAAGGAAAATTCTTTGTGCTGTATGCAGAGATCACGCACAAATCTAGTTATATCACTTACCCAACGTTGGCAGCAATTGTTTTCCAAACCATAATCTAAATACACGAGAAACAGTGAACGAAACAATTAGTATTAATTATGACTTACTTCCAGAGTCCTCACCGGAAATATGTTGTAATCAACCGATGACAGATCTGAGACTGGTAATGTTGATAAACTCTGACTGTAAACGTTAAAAAAACACTAGAAAACTCACTTTTCCACACAGAGCTTGACATCCGCCTTATGTCAAGACGCCATCTTTCACGGAAGTTCAGTACCAACATGACCAACCTAAAGGCGCAAGATTTGAAACCATTCGATGAACAACTTGTCAATAACACAGCTGTGTTATTTTAATTATGTCATCTTGGGTTGATCTCCCCATGTTACGTTCACTGACACAAATATCATATCACAATAAAATATTAATCATTTCTAATATCCGAAAAAAATATGACATTCTAATATCCGCCCATCCCTTCTGTAAATAATTACTAATATTATTACTACAACTATGGTAAAAACATCTTCCTAATCGTTTGGTATAAATTATCTTAAATATTTATTACCTGCTTCGTCAAGTCCTTCATTATTATTGACATTACAGATTTAAATTTCCTAAATGTTAGGCAAAATTTTCAATATTACTCAGATTTCAGAGTGACAACTGTCACTTTCAGGGATATACAAGCCGGAGAATGTGTGTATATAGAATGTGGTGATTCTGAAGAATAAAAATGCCTTGTAAGCAGAACATATGACGTGGGCTAATCAGGAAATAAGAAAATAATAATAAATATTTATTTAGAAATCTGGGCATGGGAATGGAATAATGTGAACAGTTGCTTAACGTTTCAAAATTTATAGCGTTAAGTGTAACAAGACGTATAGACAATGAGACGCCATGGAAGGTTCTAGAATAATTAAATTAATTTCGTGACGAATTTTTATATTCAAACAACTTTTAATAATATATTTTAAAATGCGATATTTTCTCCAAGAAAACACAGCCCTTCTAAATTACAAAAATCAATTTTTAATGTTTTAATGAAAAGCCAAGATGTTTATTCAGTACCAAACCAAAATATATATATAATGTGCCTAAATGCAATTATTCACGGTTGAAACATGAGATGGGATATATGTATTAATATATAGTAACAATTTGAACTTTAAACTATTAAAGGCATGGGATTCTCACGGGGGAAGTATGAAGATGGTTGAAAACCACTTCCGTCATCAGGGCGATGATTCATCGCCGGGACTCCTGCACTCATAAGACCCTACCTGAACCATTTTAACTGTAAATCTACTCAAGAGGACCAATTGTGGTTCTGGGAAGGCCATCCCCTGAGACATTGCGGATTAATTACATAAATATGTAGCGACATTCGAGTTGTCAAATTTGTAGAATGTAAACCAACAAAATTTCTGACTTTTTTGTCCTTCTCAGTTTTACAAAACAAACCACTCGCTTTCATCAAACACCGAGGTTAAGAATGCGTGGAGTTATATCGCCACTTCCCCATACGTCAGAAAAAACTTATAATGACGTTCGTAAGTGATATAACTACCATGTTTTATAGATATAACCTCCGATAAATAATATGAAAACAAAATCATTTTGTAACCTCAATGCTCTGAACATTCGCATTTTATCCAAGAAACGAAAATTGTAAAAGATTAAGTTGTTTAAAATGTCATTACTAAATGCAATTAAGTCGGTTACAGGCAAATTCTAAAAACACGAAAATTTTTGAAAATCTTTTTAAGCACTCTTTATGGAGCTGTGAAACATTTGATGAGCCATCATACGCTGTGACCGTGATGCACTCTGTCGGACACCGACTGGGTTACTCACGTCTCTCTCCAATACTAGGCGGAAAATCGAATTAGCCCTGTATTGTACAAGCCACGCCTGCACCGAAGCTGTATTAACTTATTACAGGGCCGGATTGATGGAGTATAATCTGATTTCTCGGCACTGGTTGGGTGGTTCCACCATTGTGCTGGCTGTGACGCCGACAGTGGGTAGCAAATTAAGTTACTGCCAGACATTTAGCGTTTCCTAAACACACTATTCATCTACCAGAGAGAAACATGCCAGACCTAGAGGTCGACATAATTTCGCGGGATACTGACGTCTTGATCACGGATTCTCTGACATAAGCGTCTCTCAAACGACGCAACTGGACCGACATAGGCTACCCGCTTTCCAACACGACAGAGATGTGGCCTTCTGGCGTTCTTTACGCATTAGCATAAATTCAGAAGACCTCGTGAGCGTCTCTTGTCCTCCTGTTTATAGCATTTTTCAACCTAAAAGTTGGTACTCTTTCAAAATAATCGGTTCGAAAATTATCAGAATTTTGTTAAATACAATCTATCAGTTATTTATTGACAAATATTAGCTATAGGTGTATTATATTAAACACGTCCAGTGAGGTGTTACATTAATATGGTTTTGTAAAAAACATATCTTTTATCTGTTAAATACCTTTTTTTTTTGATTTGTATTTTATGAATTAACTTGGTTTTTTGCCACTGATGATGACCTCTTGAGGTCGAAACGCGTTTGGCATTAGTGTCTTTCATAGTGTAAAAAGTTTTGTTTGTATGCATACTTTATATTTCAAATATAAACTGCGGAAATTTTTATATTTATTTTTTATAGGCCTATAGGAAGGAATATTGCAAATTTTCCCAGAAATGTCGTCATACTCCAAACAACGTATACAATTTTGGGGCATAATATCGGGGTCTGACTACATTTCTAGACTTGCAGTGGTGTGAATATGTTAAAAGCTGCATCAATGTCTTCTCTCGTCACACAATGACGCTAAACTTCACGGGGGCGAAGTCATGAATCAACTACTTATACCAACTAATTAATTACATGGTATAGCGTCCTTGATGTGAAACTGATAGTCTCTCAGCTAGACTAGAAATATCTCGCCTTTCATGGCAATCGAAGGTTCATTTCCGTTCACAAGAGCCCACCACTGGTCTCCATCCTATAACAGATGAATCCGGTCACACCCATTCTATTTTCGTAAGATTAGTTTTTAATATTATCTTCCCACATACGCCTAGGTATTTTAGTGGTCTCTTTTCCTTGGGATTTTCTTACCACTGGGTGTCGAATTCCAATCCCACCTCATCGTCTTCAATTTGATTATCCTAATAAATTATAAATCTCCTCATTATACAACCGTAATCAGCGTGCTGATTCGTAATACAGTCGTATAATAATTTCATTAAATATAGATACATATTTTCGGTCACAGAATATCCGGTTGCGTGATGATATAATTCCACAAAATAGCTTATGACTTCCTCCTGAAAGTTATTTGACACTCCCCACTGGAGATAGCTTTTCAATCTCATTTTTCGCTGATACCAATTGTGGCAGAACGCGACTGTACACGGACTGTTCATTGCGCGCGTTAATAAACGGCAAATTGCTAATCACAATACGGACGCTGTCTGGAGCGGGGGGGGGGCCAACGGGGGGTCTCTGCTGCACAGAGGAGCATTATTACGCCCTTCGTCCCTATATTACAGGATCGGAGAAGCCCATTGGGTCTGAGGCCAGCGCAGAATTATCACAAACAGACGGAAGGCTACACATATTCACAGATCCTTAGTTAGCTCAATCCCAAGTGAAATTTTTCACAAACAAATACTTAAGATACTAAGTAATTTGGCGGCCAAAATAAGTATTGGATTAATATTTCCCGTACGTGCAGATGTTTACAAAAAATTGTTTCAATCAGACTTTTCGCAGTTGCAAAAAGTCTGTCTTGTTAATTGGACGAAATGTTTCGGCAACTATTTAGCCATCATCAGGTCTATATTTAAGTTGTCTGATAAACTGATGACAGACCAGGATGTTGTGGCTAACACAGGGTGGCTGTGTGTGTGTTTTATGAACGATTTAAGATCGAGGATTTCATTGTAATTGAACCACGAGGTCTATCAACGTCATTGCTCTCTCTATTCAGAGACCGGTTTCTGGGGTCCCTCTATACCCGATGATAAAGATAGATTTATTCTTGGAAACGATGTCATTTTCAAGACTCTAAAACCATTTAAAAGATAAAGGATAAAATCAAATACAAAGAAGGTATTGTAGTAATATATACCATCTCCAAAGGCATTCAGAGAAAGATGATTAATTCTATTTTGTACTTGGAAAGTCCCTGCCTACATTCTCGGTTCAGAGGCCGCCCATCGAAAAATTAACTTCCTGCAGATTTTGTGGACCTCGAAGCAAATTCTGAAGCATCACATCCTTTCCAATTACCACCCTCAGCCACCACCCCTCCCACATTATACGTTAAATACAATATGACACTCAGAATGTAAACCATCAATTTTTATAGCCAAAACTTATATTTTATTTTTGCTGTATATAAATAATTCAGTCCGTACCGCAAATAAAACACAACACTTCTCCACTGCGTAGATGATGTTTAGGGAAAATTCTCTGTTTATTCTTAGAATCATAAGAAACCACCAAAATCTTATTAGAAAAATGCCGAGTTACTTCATGTTAAAATGGGTTAAGTCACAAGTCTGGTGGCATCCATATTCCTGATGAAGGCAGTTCATACGAAAGTAAATTTCTTCCCAAATATTGTTTATCAATACAATTGTTTATTTGAAGCATTGAAGAATTGGGAAACTTCTCTAGACTATAATTAATAACCCCATAGTCATCGACATTCCAGCTTTGTTTTAATGGCATCGATCTGAATTGTCATGATCTCACAGCACTAGAATTGACAGAGGCCCCACACTGAAATTCCTCTGCTGGTAGCAACGTGCAAACACAATCGGCTTCAGTTCTCATCAAAGTTTACAGCGAATTCAAATCCTGCACTGAAAATGGTACGAGACCTTCCAATGCTTCCGCGGAATCCACTGTCATTGACACACGTTTTAATAACGCTGGAACACAGAATCCACTATCTGTGTGGACACAGCACTCAGCAATTCTCTCTGAATCCACAAGCAATTAAGAGTTTGCTAAACTCCTACACAAAATCTGGGTTTATTTATTAGTAGTAAAACATCGATTATAGGCAGATCGATTATTTTTACCACTATAAGACTATCGATTAAGTTAACAAACGTATAGACAATTCTCAAACAGAAGATAAGAGACAAAACTTACTCTAAGAAGCAGATCCCTTCTTGAGCTCAGCTACTCAAGGTCCTTACCCTGAGCAAATTTCTTCATAATCTGATTA